TTCATCCACTGGAAAAAACCTAACAAGGAACACGAACAGTTTCAAGGGCCTTCATTGTGGCCTTGAAATAGCATTTCCCATGAAAGGAAGTCAAAGCAACTGGAGAAAATGTGGGGCTGGCAATGAGCAAAATAGGCCTGGACTACCTCACATGCCAGGGCTTGGAAAACTACTTGGGCTGTGTTCAGAGGGTTCAAGACCCACTTGAAGAGCTTCCACTGGCTACCAATGGGACATCTTCAGTAAGAATGAGATTTGCAAACAACTAAAACCCATCAGTATGTTTAAATCCATGTTTTCCTTTAAAAAAAAAAACCTCAATTGGTTTCTTTCAGGGTACACAGGCAACCAAATCATTATTGTGACAACTAGGTAAGGGGAAAATCAAGCATGTTATCATGTATCTTATTTTCCCATGGCAACCAAGCAGCATCTGAGAGAAACACTCAACCTGGAGAGAAGAAACCATCCACCCATCACATTGTCCAGAATCTGCTGGAAGGCCAAAACCTCCAAGGGGAAGGGGAAAGCCTGCATGTGAGAACCCAGGAACAGCACCTTGGTGGACCCCCACAGGTGTTGAGGGCCACCCTGCTCTCTGAAAAGTCTGCAGAATCCTCCTGTCAGTCTGCCAGGCTGCAGGATTCCAAGAGGATCCAGCTGTGGGATCTCAGGGAGGCAGCTCTCAAGCACTTCCTTGGTGGAACAATTTTCTTAGCAGGTTTTTAGCAAGCTGCTTTTCGTTCCTGAAACCACCCTGAGTCACTTAGAGCTCAGGGCCAGCTGTTCAGGGCCTCCTTCCATCCATCTCTCCAGGGGGATAGGCGGAGCTTCACTTTTCAGCCTGGACACTGGGGAGGAAAAGCTTTCAGTGGATGGAGCTTCCGAAAGCAGCTTGTCGCTGGAGCTGCATGGTGAGCAGAATTCAGAGATCCAGTCCGTAGTGCTGTGATGGAGTACCTTTTAGCCAGCTCCCGGAATTCAAAGGGAGATCGCCTTCAAGTGCAGCAAGGTGAAATGCAGGGTGAGATTAGCCTGGAAACTTCTCTCCAGGGACCAGAAGTGCCTCCTGGGAAATTGGTATGCTTTACTTCCTGCTTGGCTTTCAGTAACCACGGCCATCTTGCAGTTGGGAGCCGCCGTCAGTGTGCTGTTGAAAGCCACCTGTTTCACACTGCCTACTGCACTTTGAGCGCTTCTGGGGCAGTCAGGAAAGGAGAAAGCTTCTTGTTGGTGCTGAACTCTTAACAAGTCCTTTCATGTGTGTCTGATACTGAATCAGGCTGCGACCTTCGTCTGTGGCAGAGTCTTGTACTCAAGAGGAAAGTGTAGACTCCATTATCACTCTGAGTGGCTTTGAAGGCAGGATTCAACCCCCATCCAACTGTTCTGCTTACACTTTTTCTCCTCTATCCCCCTCCAAAACAATCTACTCTGTGATACACGCCACATCATTTTTTTTCTATTCTGATTCCCATTTAGGAATTTTTCACAAAATGGGGATTTTGTGTGCTAAAAGCAAAGGTGAGCCAGACTCTAGGTCCAATGGTACTGCTACAAGTTCTGGCTCCACACATCCAGCACTGGGATCCACTGGGCCCCTCAGAGGGAAAGCTAATGGTCTACCCTGCCACCACCCTTCTCTATATACACAGCATGTTCTAGAATCTAGCTTAAGTGATCCACCTAGAGAAGAAAAGTCTCACTAATCAGCACCCTGCAAATGAAAATAAAAATCTTGCCTTTTCCATATGCAGAACTTGCATCTCCCGGAGAAAAAAAGATTTGTATTAAATGGAAATGGAATTAATGTCTGTTTGCCCTAGACTTTCTGTAGTAGATTTCTAGGCAGCAATCCAATCAGCTGGGTTGCTGCCACTTCATCCTGTGTGCAGTTAGAGTTGGTCAGGGGCCTCCCGGAAGAGGGAGGGAGAGAGAGAGAGAGAGAGAGAGAGAGAGAGAGAGAGAGAGGGGGGAGA